ACGTTACCATAGTAAACAAAATAAACGCTTGAAGATACGCATAGTAAAAAAAACATAGTGAACGTTTGAAGAAATCAGACCAATCATAAAGGTTATCACAATAATGTTTTTATTTTATCTGTCAGATAGCCTACGTCTCGTCTCTTTATACCGGACTATCATAAAATAAAGCACATTTTTTTTCCCGGGAGCTTCCTCTGTTTCTCTGACTGAAAATATCTGTAACGTTAGCCTACTGGGAGTCGAGAGAGTGCTAAAGCTCCTCAGGTCGTATTATTGGTGGCATATATTTGTAGAAATTATCATTCTTTTTAAATGTGATATATGTCCTGTTACTACCAAATAAACAGAAACAGACGCGATTGAAGTAAGTGTGTCCTATTTCTTTTGTGAAACCTAACGGTAATTTATTTCTGTGTGACTAATGTGCAATTTTGACATACATTAATTCATGATCAATGTATCGCCTTTTATTGTAGACCTGGTAAAACATCGATGCTTGGGTTTTAAATAGTCAAGTAAACAACAAAAATGCCAGCAAACGGTCGCTTTTATCATATTTGTTTTGCAATGCTGTTTCCATTTCTTTCTGATTAGTTTTCTGATAACACGGGCGTGTTTTATTGAAGCACCGCGGAGCTTCTGGCCTGACAGTGGAAACGTTCTTCTGATCCACTGCCTCTCTGTCCTCTCCCTCTACTGTTGAATCATCTGATGATGATGATGATGATGATGATATCTAATCTAACAATGCACGTACTTAAGAAAATATAACGAATAAATAAGCATAAATACTAATTACAATGGTTCATGTTTTTCACAGTCAGTAATTCATACTGTAAAGTTGCAGTTTGTTTGAAATAACAAACCTGTTCACCCAAAGGAAAACTCGACGAAGTGCTATTAGAAGACGTCCTGTCAATAGCTTTTTGGTACATAACGGCTACCGTAGATGCAATACACATTTGAAAAAGCGAGGCGCTGGAGAGCACAATTCGTTTGAATGCAAAATACAATTTCACCGCTAGATGGGAGTAATTCCTACACAATGTCCCTTTAACAGAAAGTTTCCTTACTATATAGGCCTACGGTAAATAACTGTGATAGATCTAACGGTATATTTTAACCATTAAATTTACAGTTTTTGAAAGTGAAAAAGAACAACTCATTGTATAATTTACAGTGAAAAACTGTAAATGGACATTCCCACAATTCCCTACGTGACACTTCACATTTGATTTATTTTTGTTGAAATAACTGTTTCTTCTTAGTTTTCTTAGTTCTTTTCTAATCAGTTATGTACATTAGGGTTTTGTGTTACATTTTAATGTTGTTAAATTAATGTTTATTGCATTTTTAAAATTTCATGTGTGTTACCATGATGGTGTTTAATGTTTGTGCGAATCACTGTGCAGCTTCTATATAACAGTATTAACTCTCTTGTGGAAGACTACTTGTGATGAGCCTTCATTTATCATGTGACTCTCATCACTGCTGTGATGATTGGTGATTGTCAGGATATTACAATGGTACAAAACAAATATTAGTACTTCAACAGGTTGGTAAATTAACTTTATATCAGATAATGAAATACGGTTTATTACTGTAAATTTTAAGTTAAGTCTATGAAACCAATAACGTTGATATACCGTAGTTGTGTTAGTCAGCTTGGTTACAGGTTAAGGAACCACTGGCATTATTGGAGATTGACTCTGAGTTGTTGTTCTGGACAGACTGGCGAACAGCAACCCAAATCTGCGACCTGGAAGGTCACGACGTGCCTAACTTCAGGGTCCAAGTGTCGGCTGCATAATCGATGGAGATATGCTCCAGTCTATCTTTTTATGTGTGGAAGATTGCTATGTTTGTCTATTTTCTTAGCCAATCAGAATCATTCAACCTGAGGATGTAGCTTAGACCTAGGTGAAGGGCATTATAACTGCTGTAATTTTTGTAACTGTAAGCGGGGCGGCCTACAAATTCCTTGGGACTGGGAGTCTTGAAGCTGACTTTGCTGATGAAACTGCAAACTATCTTCAGTAAAACCTTTCTTTAATTTATTATAATTCTGACTCGGGTCTTCATTCATCATATCTGGTTCTGTAAATCCCCTTACAAAACCATAAGAAAAGAAATTAAGAATTTAAAGCACATGTTGCAGGCCAATTTATTATTTATACATTTAATGAAAAGTTAAAAATAGTATTATCTAATTTAGAAGGTTGTCCAACACACTAGAGCTCCAGAGAATAAATGCTGCCATATTAATATTAGGAGACTGATATTTGGATTTATAAATAAATAAATATAAAATAAATGCTACATCTTTTTGTATTAATAAATGGCATGATTGAGAACATTGGCTGGGCTTTTGGTAAAGTAATAGGGGGAACATTGTTTTGCTTTTACAGCAGCTATACTAAATAGTATATTTATATAACAGTATAACATTATATACTTATATATAAAGATAGAAGCACAGAAAACAGCATGGGCACAGTTAATCCAGTCTGCCCTAAATTGCTCCCTGAACTCCTCATTATGACATGTATTAATAATTTATGATTCTTCTGTCTATCAAGTGTGTTGTATTTGTGAAAACATGGCTTCCTTGGGGAAGAACAGTCTTCGAGTGTGAGAGCATCAAAACAAAGACATACCAAATAAAGATTAACCATGTATAAACAACCAGTCGCCAGTGGTTTGTACACATTTACCCATAATCTGTTGCTCAGGGGTCTTCAACCTTTTTCAGGCCAAGAAACCCTGGATGATAGAGAGATGGAATATGTTCCCCTGATTCTTACATTGAATATTACATTTTAAAAATCATTGTTGAAATATAGACCTGTATACATTTCATATAATTTTTATACTTTCAGTTTTACTTAATATATTTGGCAAGACTTTACACTCTCAGAAAAATAAAAACTACAAAATCCGTCACTGGGGCAGTAGACCTCTTATGAAAAGAAAACATATTTCCCTATATATGAATGATCAATATATTAAATGGTTTAACAGTATACTTGAAAATATACAGAATAATATATTGTGTTAATATATTGAATAATAAGTAATTGCCGGTTTTCACATATTTAAAAATATGTGACAATATATTTACTAATAGATCATAATGTAGGGCCTATGTAATTTTATATTTAGTAATACACTTCATAATAGATAGATTAATATGTGATCAGATATGGTACTGCATGTGTAATATATTACAAATATATAATATTTACTCATGCAGCATAAACACATTTAAAGAGAAATATGTAATTTTATATATATATATATTAATCATTACCTTATATTATAAATTAAACTTTTTTCAAACTAGTTATTAAAGGCACAAGCACACCTACATGTGTTAATATATTTAGTCGAGAAACTGATGAGAATTGCACAATCATCACTTTTATAATATATTAAATCCAATGTATTAATGCCAATTGTCAAACTAACCACAAGCTCTACTCTTCAGCACTACGGTAACCCCAAAAACTCAGACATAACAGAAAACATTTTAAATTCCAAAATAATAGAACATTAAACACTAACAGATATCCCCCTATATTAATATTGAGCAAAAAAAACAACAAAAAAACATTGAATAACACTTAACTTTAACATTTGCCTTTAACAGTCAGAAGCAAAGCATGCTGGGAACTAGAAATCCGTTGTAACTGATTCTGTGAATGTGGGTGCGTACACATTTATATGGGAACATGTATGTGCAATATATGCACACAATAAAGGATCAAACTTTGCGAATATTACATGTAATGCTATTTTTGTCTTCATTTATAAATATTTTATATGTATAGGCCTATAGCCATACATGGTCAATGCATATTGCAGTAGGCCTATATTGAAAAATATAAGCACTAGTTTCCCATTTGGAAATGCATTATGTAATATATTGCATTATATTTTGCAGTATATTCCCACATATTTTTGTTCCGTAAGGGACTACCCTTTCAAAAGATACTAACATATACCATTTAGGTAAAATGCACTTTATATGTATTCCTCATATGGACCCTTCAGGGGTAAGGTACAAAGAGGTTCCTTATTATGAGACTTTTAGAGAGTGCAAAGTACGATCCCATCATTTAACATCAACGCATAATGAGAAATATGACTTGTAACAATATTTATTCATCTTTGTTCACGTTAGTTCATAAAAATACAATTGTTCATTGTTCAGTGTTCCAGTTTATCCTCAACTTATCTAACACTGATTATCAAGGGATTCCTGACATGACCGAAAGAGAATCCTTGTTTTTCCCCTTAATGATGACAAGTGTCTGAGGACTGGCAAAGATTTAAATAATTAATTAGCTTTGATGAGAAGGTTTTAATGTTGATCTTTGGGGTGTTCTTGCTGCTGTCTTGTGTCTCTTTACTTCTATGTTTATAAAGTATAAAGTCTGTCCATCATCATCACCATCACCATGTCACTGTGATGATTAACTTTTCAGTCGTAGGCTATCTATTGAACTTGAAACGTATCAATTGAACTTGAAAATCTCATTCCATTTTTGTCTTTTTAAACCAATTGTTGTGTTGACTGCATTTGTTAGCCCTAGTACCCAAATAAATATGAGATAAAGATGAACAAACAAATAGCCTACTTAAATGTATGGGAGACCAACTGTTGCACGAAATTAGACAAAATATGAATATAGTAGTATTAATAATAATAATAATAATAATAATTCAGGCTAAATTTTCAACCCTGACATTCATTATGGCATATTTTTTTAATTTTATTTAATTGTATTACTAAAATTAATAACATTTTCTGAAGGTTAAACACCTTCAATGACCTGCCAAAAAACGTCTTTATTTTTTAAGAGTTTATAATACATGTGTTAGTAGATTGATAGCAAATAAGACACAAATGATTTGTTTTTTATCATGTTTACTGCTTTATTTATATCCTGGTTTTCCCACGTCACACATGTTATCGTGTCTACAGGAAGTACAGGGTGGTTGCGAGAGACTTACCTGCAGCTCGAAACTGCGTGGGAAGTGACACTTTACGATTTACAATAAATATGTTTGTTTTTCAGATTCAAAACCTACATTATTAATAAAATCAACAGGGTTATTCCGTCTCGATTCTAAAAGATCATGCAAAAAAGGGCTGGATGGAGGGCTAGTTTCTTGTGGTTAATCGAGCAGACACCTGCGCGCGCGTGTCAGCGGGTTTCGCTATAGGTGACGACAAAGGGCCGCCTGCATGACACATGAACGGCAACACAGTGGACCTACAGCGGCCAATTTGACAAATACGTCGAATGACATGGACCCGCTCAAATCTGGGAAAAAATTTCCGGTATGTTTTAAACTGAGTATCTTTATTACTATTTGTTTTTCTTGTTGTCAGTTGTTTCAGGCGTTATTTGCCTGAAACAACTGCTGAGACTCTTTGGACAGTGCTGTTTGTGTTTGGCAATTTACATAATTAACAGCCTCATTTGTTCGGTATTTATATTAAGATATAGGCAATTTTAGTTTGTATATTAACTATAGGCTATACATATACTATAACTATGTTATATATATATATATATATATATATATATATATATATATATATATATATATATATAAGCTATATATATATATATATATATAGCTTATATATATGGTTATATTTGATAAAATAATTGAAATAATTATTAATTATATTATAGCTGTAATTGTATTATATATTCAATGTATATGCCTGTCTAATTTGATTTGCTTCACTGTTTTATATTGCTTAAACCAATGGTTATATATTGACATTGCAGTTTCAGTCTCAAGTTTAGGCTACATTGTGCTTGAACTTTTCAAATAAATCTTTAGTATCCTCCACCAATATTTTAAAAATAAGTATCTACTGTAAATATGTATTTAAAGATGTTTAACCAAAAGACTGCCATTTAAAGAACCTGTTTTTCCTCAATTAAGAAAAGCTGCCACTTCAGTCATGTGACACACACACACACTCGTGTCAACGCATACTTGGTTGGGGTGGATTGTTGACGCTGATGAGAAAGGTGTTGGTTCAAGATTTAGAAAACAGTTGCAACCACATTATTCCACGTGCCTACTCATACCAGTGAGATTGGACTGCTTAAGAGGAATAGCCTGTTTTCACATGGGTGGTTCAAAATTGCATTTTAGTCATGTACAGTACAGTGTGTCTGTGTCCTCAGGGTAGTCACAGAGAGTAACTCATTCTATACGTAACAGTCACATAACCAACTCAAAAAGCACACGCGTATTTTACTTGTATTTTACATTTCTCTGTAGGACAGTGGCTTGGACCAGACAGATGAGTTTCTACCTGCATCGGATACAAAGAAGTTACAGAAGAACAGGATATCGGGCAGGGTGATTGTGGCAATAGGTCTCACAGCATTCGCCATCATTGCATTAGTAACTGGACTGCTAGTGTGGCATTTCCATTGTGAGTTATTTAACCTGTAAAGTAACACACTGCTAGTATCACCATAAACAGCAAATCTGAATGATTTTGATAAAACAATAACTCCAGCATGTTCATTGTTATAGTCAGGCCAATTGGAAAGGTGAAGAAGTTGTTCAGTGGTTATTTGACCATCTCCAGTCAGACGTTCTCAGATGCTTATGAAAACTCTAACAGCACTGAATATAAAGAACTCGCTTCAAAGGTCTCAAATCAGGTGAGGTGGTCGTGTTTCTTTGGAAGCTTTTTTCATGTTTTTATTTGCCTACTTCATTAAATGTGCATTGCGCAACATTTCATGTTAAAAATACCCGTTTTTCTAACCCATACATGCTTAAACAATTGCCTGATGGGCTGAATGAGCCCTTCTCTGATCACTGCGATTGCCTCTATAATCCTGTACAGTAAAATAAATAAGAGGGATTCGGGACGGAATTTGAGACTGGGCGTGACGTCATGCGCGTTCACGCTCACCTGGCTATGTCTGGCAGGTTTGTGTATTCGCCGCCATTCTCCGTATCAGCGAAGACAACTCGAGCGACAAAACTTTAGTCAACTTTCGACAAAAGTTGAAGATGGATTCTAAGAGACCGGCTTGTAGTTCATTCCAAACCCCAACGCAAACTCCACGTAAGACAAAGAAAAGAAAACTTTTGTCTAGTGCCACCAAAAGGGCCAAATTGGAGTCAGACAGGCGTCGGAATAAGACGAGAGTCAACATCGGGAAGGCTTTAAACAAATGGAGAGATCTCCGGTCTGCTCTAGGGCTCAAACGGGATCCTCAGTTGGCTTTTACAAAGTAATAACTTATATTGTTCATGAACGTGTTTCCATAATAATACAATCATAAGTGGATACAGTAAACACATAAAACAGTTCAACATGGAGATAGATGGAAACAAAAAGTTTTCTACTACCCCCGTTTTCCACTCACACATAAGTGTGTAATTTACTCAAATGCCTTTCCTTTCATATATTTAAAATGACTTGCAGATTTATAACTTTATTACCTCTGAAGACATTATGACTGCAAACAAAAGATTTGTGCGGCTGATGCTCCTTTGGTTATGAACAGCTCGTGCTCGTGCAAGCGTGCGTATGCGTGTGGTCCATGAGCGTGCACACCTCTGGTTGCAGTTTCGCTTGTCGCCAGAGGGGGCATAGTTCTGCAAAAACTCAGAGACTTGCGCAATGCACCTTTAATGGCTATTTCCAGGAGGTGGTATATTGAGTTCATAAGGGTAATTTTAACATCTTAATACTTTGCATAATTCTACCTTGTCTTTCAGCTCAAAACTATATACGGTCAAGTACAGTTGCTGTCCAGGTACCATGTGGTATCCAGTGTGCAAGGTTTCAGGTAATTAAATAATTCTTCCACTCATGATAGAAAATGATGGGTAGTTGACATGAAAGGTCAATCAGAAAGTTCACTCCATTTTTCTATAGTTATTATATTTGCAGATGACATTATATGACCTCATATTAACTGACAGACAGCATGGAATATTTGTTCTTTAAAGGCCAACTCACACAGCACACACAAACACCAACAAACAAGTCTGCCATTGGATTTAGAATTTTATGAAAAATAACTGTCATATTCACACTGCCCCAAAAGACACGACAAACGCTGATTCAAAACGTTCAGTCGGGTGAAAACAAACCCTGTCCAATGCCAACAGACGCCGACAGGGGTAACACTGATCCAACAAAACCCACAAACGTATTTGTTAGTGTTTGTCTGTGCGGTGTGAATTGGCCTTAATGAGTTTGTCACACTGCAGGACTATTTACAGCACCCCTTATATTCAAAATCAAGTCAAGCTAATTGACAATGGACAAGTTAATGAACGAAGTTATTTGTCAGCCAACCTTGAATAGTCCACCCCAAAATCTCTTTTGAAACAAAGCTATAAATGTATTAGGGTATCACAGAATATGCCAGACTCATTTCATACTATGAATCTCATTCATGTTTATTTGCATTGATTTGTATTGTAAGTGTTGTGGCAAAAATTAATCTCAAACAAACATCACTGCGTAAGAGACACTCATAGTCAAATTATATAAAATAGAAGTATTTATTCTTGCAAGAATAGGAGCAGTCTAATACACAGTTGTTACCCTGTGCAGAAGAGTGACACACCCCCAGACAGACTGAACTAGCTTTTATCTTAGTTTCAAGGCCTTCTTCCCCCCCAGAGCCTTCCTCGTTTTCCATAGACGTCACTAGTTGGCCCACTAAGCTCCCCTGCACTAAATGGCCTTCTGACATCTAGGTCAGAGGTCCTTGTTCGTCTGTTCTCTGGAGTGTCTCCCCCTTCTGCCTCCCCAGGTACATAAACAGAATCTTCTCTCACTACAAGTGAGAGACACACATGTGACATTCTTTGAATCATCTATATTTTACTAAAGATCAATGAATATCATTAAAATTGCCACTACAACTCCTCACTTTTTATCATTCTGATTACCCATAATCACAATAATAAACAATAAGACACATTTTAAGTCATATCATCACACTTATACTTTTCATCTCTGATTTTTCCATAAATGATCACTCTCCTTGAACCTGTGAAGAAAAGTTTAGAATGAAGAAGCATAAGGCTGTTTTTGTGGGGGAAAGGCCCCGTAATATTTTAGCAAGCAAGTAAACATGTTTACGGTGCCGGGCTAAGCGAGAAATCACTGTTCCTGCGCTCCTGTAAACAGACCCTCAGTCACACCAGTAAGGAAAAAGTTATAACATAGTAAGGAAACAAACAGATAAAAGTATAATAAAAAATCCCTCAGTTTCAACCCCTGTCCTTGTACGCCATCTCGTAACACGGATGACCGCTGCTTGTAACCTTCTTTAAATCTTTTGCCCTTAATCTTTCTCAGAAAATAAACAAATAGAAGAAAAACAAACAGAACATACATTTAACACATATCTCACTGTAGCTCCCGCTACCTGTATCGTCACATAATTTTGTTCATCCTTGGGATAGACTGTCATTTTCACCAATTGAACAGACAGCATGTTTCACCTGTCACTGTAATCATATTCACCCATGAATAACAAAATTATTAGAATAACAATCCTAACTCCTATCATTAAGCCTTTTCCATTAATCTACGCCCATCTCCATATTTCACCTCGGTTTTCCTAACCATATTTTGTTCACTTCTAATTCAATTTAGTAAGCTCTATTTAATGCCATATTTAACAAAATCTAACCAGAGAAGTCTTATAATTTTATCCATTCTTCTAACCAATGCAGTTGTTCAATATTAACTCTAATATTTCCATTACAGACACAATCAAGATATTTTCTACATTTACAATCAAATCAATACCTAGTTTGATTCAATCAAACAAAATCATCACAAAAACAGATTCTTCTGTTAAACTTAAACCATCAGTTGTGTTGATCATCTCGTTCGCCCCACGGACGTTCCGTGTTCTTTTACCTTTAACTTTTAATTCAAACATGCTGTGGTTCTACTAAATAAGCTTCAACAATTATCCCTACAATTTACATTAATTAATAGATCTTCTCTTCCCAAAAACATTTTCCTTAAATATTTCCTAATGAACAGTGTTGTGCTAGTTACTAAGAAATAGTAACTAGTTACAGTTTCTAGTTACTTCGTTCAAAAAGTAACTCAATTACTTTGTTGATTACTTACACCAAAAAGTAATGCGTTACTGTTAAAAGTAACTTTTTAGTTACTTTTTTAAAGAAAGTTCTTAAATGTTCCCATTTAATGCCCTTTAATGCGTTATGGTCTATACAAACACAAAACTGACTTAAACAGAAAGTAATTTTTAAACACTATTTTATTTAAGTCAGACCAGCACAAACTGAATATATCAAGGATTTCTGAAATAAATAACAAAACAAGCATTTTTAAAGCTAGTGACTTGTTTGCTTTCTCAACATTGATATGTTCATGCAGCTGACAGTATACGTTTTTACCACTGTGGTTTTTACTGCATGAATTAATATTTGAGCAATACAATTGTACCTTGATCATTCTTGTTAGTTCATAGTAGGCCTACATTAACTAAGGAGATACAAATACATCTAACAATGAATGATACTTCTGCAACATTTATTAACCATATTTAATGCTAAAATTGTTATCTTATTGTAAAGTGTTGCCATTTATATGATTCAAGCTTAAAGAAGATGGCCATATTTAAATATCTGCAAAGGCCAGAGCATTAAAATTACATAAATGTAGACCTATATTACATGTACAGTCTTTCACTTTATTTGCTTAAATTTTAGAACACTTGATTAGACTTGATGTCGGCTGCATGAACACATCAATGTAAGCAATCAATCACGTCACTAGTTTTAAAAATACAACTTCGCCGGCTAATGAATACATAAAAGTGACCAGCTGGACATAAACTAATGCAAATAGATGGTAACAATTGCGACATAAAACATGTGGGTCAGGTCTGCGTGTGTTTTTGTCACATTGCTTTAATCGCTTGAGGTAAGTTAGCCGTTACTAATGTTATTCCTCTCAGACTCGACGGCAAGCTTCTGTTCTTTCTCTGCTGATGCAGCATCTAGTCAAAAAATGTATTATTTTATAATGATATGGCAATGTGTACTTAAGTGTTCTGTATTCATACCGTTTCGCTGTCTGTGTTTTAAATGCGCATCAAGTGCTCAGCGCTCTCCGTGCAGCTTGTAATCTCCGTGCTCGCGCCTCGCGCTGCCTCACGTGTAGTAAACAACTCAGCCAGTGAGTTTGTTATGTGTCCTCAGGTGTCCTCTCGCTCTGTATAATGCTAGCAGTCTCTTCAGTGCTCTCGTACTGTGTAATGACAGCGCACACTTCTCAGCCCCTCCAGCAACTAATTAATTTAAAAAAGTAACGGACAACGCGCCATATGGTAACGGTAACGGAGTTAATTTATTTAAAAAGTAATGCGTTACAGTATTAGTTACTGTCAAAAGTAACTGCGTTACAGTAACGCGTTACTAGTAACGCGTTACTGCCCAACACTGCTAATGAATAAGTAACCAATCAAATCTTTTGATCTACTGTATATCAATACTAAGCCCTATTTTGATTTAATCAAATAAAATCCTCAAAATAATCACAAAACCACATTCTTAAACCATTAGTTGGTTCACATCCTCCTCCAGGCGTGTTGATCATCTCGTTCGCCCCATGGACTATGGGATGGTTGTGGCCTGTTGGTGTAGGTGAGAGGCTTGGACCCAGGTGTCACACTCTCCAACCATTTTCTGATCCTTATAAGGTTTTCCCTTATATCACGACCGCACCCCCACTGGAGTGAACTGTCACCTGTGAATGGAGACCTTAAGTATTTTGTTAGTGACCGCTTGACAGCCGCTCGTCCCCTTTGGTGTGACCTGTGGAATCAACAACCTGAAACATATTATCACCGGATAATTTTTTGCTCACTTAATAGCACTCGGGGTCCTTTTACCCTGAAAAACACTCAACCCACTTTGCTCATGTCCGCACAATATTTATACATTTGGAACAGAATTAGTTCTGTTTGATCCAATCCATCCTGACATTCTGTAAAAGGAAAATTTTAAGTTATGCGCTGCGCAGGTGTAGCACCTTTCTGCCACACTAATAACCCAGGCCAGGACAGTTAGCCAAATTCATCCATAACCATTATTTTATTGGGCACATTTTGCCCTGTCTCCCAATCCTGCATGCTCTCTGTAAAGAGAAACAAATTTCGAGGTTATTGTCAGATAGTAAAGTACGTAGTTTCTTTTGTCTACTGTTCTCCCGTGGCCTTCGATGCCCTGGCGTTTCCTGTTGAAACAATCTTTGTTATTGGTGTGTGTGGCACACTCACAGACATCAATTTTGTTAGGCAGAAAAAATGGCTTCTTTCAGGGCTTTTATCAAATTACCCCTAGTGTTCTCCCAACATTTATTCAGCAAATGTGAACCCCTTAATAAACCATATTTGGCAATTGTTATACCATCTCCCTCTTGATGCACGACACACCTCGAGCATCAATTTAACATAACATTTAACATAGTGTTTTTATAAAGTTTGCCATCAACACTAACCCAAACGTTGTCCTTCAGACAAATTTCTCTGCCTCTGAAACAAAAATATTACATTCTTCACTTAAAGCCACAATCTCATCTTCTTCTCGAAGTATTTGAAAGGCAACGGCCCTCAGTCTCACAGCGAATCTTGCTTTTCAGGCCTGTTGTTTGGTCTCTCAAGTCAGTCATCTACAAACATTTCCAAAGTCATCAATTTTCCCTATCAGGTCAGGTCGTGCTGTGCAGACTTGGTCAATGTCAGTCAATCATTTCTCCCCCTTTGTTCACAATAATCATAAATGT